CCAACCCATCTAAGAGGCATATGATACTGGTGTTCTACTGGGTTAGGAAGAAGCCCCTGACAGAGAAGCCGTGCTCTACCATCTCGGCCAGACCTTCTGCCTCTGCACCGGCTTGCAACACTCCTCACATTTCACCCTACTTCACGAGGAGCAAGACACAACCCGCTCCGCTCAGGAGGTCCAGCAGGCGCAAAGTGCTGCGATTTCTGAATCTCACCGACCCCATGTTTTTAAGATCTGTCACTGGCAGCGTTGGCCGAAAGAGAGCCCGCAGGCGTGGCAAGCAAAAGAAGACTCCAGCAGAAACAGGAAAAGGGGTGAGGGCTAGGCTAGAGGCAAGAAGGCTCCAAAGCTATTTGCGGGGTGGGATTGCTTTGGAAGATGCCTTCTCACAATCTCTACCCTTGAACCATGTAAAGACATAAGAAGTGCCTGCTGGATGAGGCCACATTGGCCTGTCTAGTCCAGCATCCTGTTCTCACAATGGCCAACCAGAGGCCTGCGGAAACAAGAGCATTCTGTATTCCCTTCCTGCATCTTCCAGCAACTACCGTATTTTTCGCTCTATAACACGCACCTGACCATAACACGCACCTAGTTTTTAGAGGAGGAAAACAAGGGAAAAAACATTCTGAATGAAACAGTGGATGTATCATTTTTGTGCTTCATGCTGTGGCCACAGACATGTGATCTGATGGTGAATTTGGGGTGACCCAATGCAAAAATCCTGATAATTCCTGTGGATCCATGCTTTGTAACCACGTTTTTGCACCATTGCAGCCCCAGGCAACAGTGGGTGCGTGATTTTTTGGGTGCAGGCTGTAGCCATGGACATGCTATGTGATCTGATGGTGAATTTGGGGTGACCCAATGCAAAGATCCTGAGGATCCATGTGGATCCATGCTTTTTAACCACGTTTTTGCACCATTGCAGCCCCAGGCAACAGTGGGTGCGTGATTTTTTTGGTGCAGGCTGTAGCCATGGACATGCTATGTGATCTGATGGTGAATTTGGGGTGACCCAATGCAAAGATCCTGAGGATCCATGTGGATCCATGCTTTTTAACCACGTGTTTGCACCATTGCAGCCCCAGGCAACAGTGGGTGCGTGATTTTTTTGGTGCAGGCTGTAGCCATGGACATGCTATGTGATCTGATGGTGAATTTGGGGTGACCCAATGCAAAGATCCTGAGGATCCATGTGGATCCATGCTTTTTAACCACGTTTTTGCACCATTGCAGCCCCAGGCAACAGTGGGTGCGTGATTTTTTTGGTGCAGGCTGTAGCCATGGACATGCTATGTGATCTGATGGTGAATTTGGGGTGACCCAATGCAAAGATCCTGAGGATCCATGTGGATCCATGCTTTTTAACCACGTTTTTGCACCATTGCAGCCCCAGGCAACAGTGGGTGCGTGATTTTTTGGGTGCAGGCTGTAGCCATGGACATGCTATGTGATCTGATGGTGAATTTGGGGTGACCCAATGCAAAGATCCTGAGGATCCATGTGGATCCATGCTTTTTAACCACGTGTTTGCACCATTGCAGCCCCAGGCAACAGTGGGTGCGTGATTTTTTGGTGCAGGCTGTAGCCATGGACATGCTATGTGATCTGATGGTGAATTTGGGGTGACCCAATGCAAAGATCCTGAGGATCCATGTGGATCCATGCTTTTTAACCACATTTTAAGTGGGGAGCGAAGGAAAAACAAAGAAGGGACATGAGAGGGGTGTGCAGAGAAGCAGCTGGCTAAGAATGCTGGAGAGGGATTTAACGGGTGGGAGGCAAAAGTTCCCCCCCAAGCCAGCCATCTCTCTCTCTCTCTCTCTCTCTCTCTCTCTCTCCCTCTCCCTCCCCACTCTCTCTCCCTCTCCCTCTCCCCCAGCAGTACCGGAGCACAGAGACGACACTTTCCCCTCTGCTTGCCTGGAGGGGAGGGGCTTTCCCTGCTCTTTGTTCCGTTTCAGCAATCACAGCAACGAAACAGAGAAGGGTGGGCAGTAAGACCCTGAGGCAGAATGCAGGAAAGCTGCCACTTCCTCTTTTCAGGTTTCCCTTCTCCGTGAAGAGCGATTTGACTTTTGCTTGATTTTTTGGCTCCAGGGACCACACATTCGCTCCATAACACGCACAGACATTTCCCCTTCCTTTTTAGGAGAAAAAATCTGCGTGTTATAGAGGGAAAAATACGGTACTATTCACAAACGTTACTGCCACTGACTGTGGAGGTAGAGCATAGCCATCGTGCCTAGTGGCCATTGATAGCCTTCTCCTGCATAAAACCATCCAAGTTGGTGGCCATCACAGCTTTCTGTGGGATTGAGCTTCCAGAGGGGTAGCTGAGCATGCCTGCTGCAGCAAAAACAGGCATTAAAAGCACATTTCTCCCAAAGAATCCTGGAAACTACAGTTTGTAAAGGGTGCTACAAATTGTAGCTATGTGGCAGAAGGGTAATCTACAGTTCCCATGATTCTTACAGGGGAGAAGCAATAATGCTTTTAATGTATGGTGTGTACACAGCCTCAAATTAGCTACGCCAGCTCTGTAATACTAGAGCAAAGATTATAGTGCATATTGTTGTTGTTGTACTTTTATAAATATTATAAAACCCATTCCTGTAAGCCATGTAGTCTGGAATAAACTCAGTCACCCCTCCCATCATTAATTGTAGTCATAGGAGTTCCTACATGCAAATGGAGTTCATTAATAATAACTAATAACGACTTGGGAAAGAAGCTCCTGAAGCTTCGGAAAGACTAGAAAGGTTAGTTGGTATGCTGCAGGGACGACCTCTAAAGGTGTGCGTGTGTGCTGAACATAATTACCCAGCAGGTGCCCTTTCGCAAAGTCTTCTTTTGTCCTTTTGAACAACAGCCCTGGGAAAGTTGCAAGTTTAAGAAGAAAGACGGGTGAGAGGAGAGGTTGCTTGACCCTGCGCCCCCCCCCCCCGGCATTTTTCTGATTCAAAACCTCCCACCAACACCACAGGCTGCTTTTCTACTAGGTGGGGAGGGGTGTTGGATCTGCTTCCCTGCCTTGAAGAAAGGCGCAGGTCAGATGTGTGCCCAGACCTGGCCACGCTTCGCAAGAGAGGTGTGTTGGTTCAAGGTGGCCACGCTGCCTGCAACTTGGCACTCCTTCCTGATGTGTCTTCCCCAAACCCCTTCTTCCAGAGGCTGTGCTGAAGTTTTCCATCACGTGGAACACAAACTCGCGGAACTACCTCGAGGCTCAGGCAGTGGTGGGAACCCTCCTCAAGCATGAGACGCCAGAGAGCCTCTTGCAATACAAAGGGATCAAAGCAGCTGTGGAGCCTCTCCTACCATACACGGCACTCCAGAGGCCAGGCTGCAGGCCTCCATGTTCCTCGATTTCATGTGCTGCCTGACACCACCAAGTGGGACGAGGAGATGGACACGTGATGAGCTTTGGGTGCCAGTGACATGCGGGGCAGAAGAGCTGGACACTCCTGCCAAGTTGGCACTGCTCTCACCGGTGGAATATGTTGACTTGGTTTGTAAACCCCCCCCCACACACAAATGTACGTTTTTCATTTTGTAAAGGAATAAATTTCCTAAGAGTGTCTTCCTACATACAACCCTTCCCCATCCCCTTTAAAAATGAAATAAAATTCTTTAGCATACTGAGTTTTCAGAATGAAATAATACTCCATTCTTAGCTGTGTGAGTGTGTCCCTGGGTTTGTGTTCCTTAGATGAATGTCCTCTTTCCTTCTTCTTTTGGAAGCTTGGATGAGGTTGCATTGGCCTTCCTCAACTCATTGCCTTCCAGATGTTTTGGACTACGACTCCCATAAGCCCCACCCACCATGCTTATGCTGCCTGGGGGTGAGGGGGAGCTATGGCCTAAAATGGCCATGCCAGTTGAGGCTGAGGGGGAGCCAGAGTTCAAAATGGCCGTGCTGCTGGTGGTAAGGGATAGGGAAGAGAAGCCACCTTCCCTCTTTAGCTTCACCATGAAAATAGGCAGCGGCCCTGACCACCAGAGGCCATATCAGAAGACGGGAAAGCAAGTGGGGATTGCCCAGAGGACAACATTATGGCTATAAAAGAGGCAGTCCAATACTAGGTGGGGCCGTCTGGAGATTATGAGGTGTCTGTGAGGAGTTGAAGTTCAATTAGTTTCACCAAGAGCCTTAAGCAAAGGTGATAAACAGTGCTGTGGTTGTCAGCATCGCCCTTGAGCCAGTGCCACCAACTGGACTCATCCACTTCTGCCCCGAGCTGGGTAGCACTTCCAGAGACCACCTTCTGCACTGGAACAGGTCATAGTGCTGTGGACTCACAGCTTAGAGTTGTGAGCACCGGATTCACTTCCATAAGAATACAGTCGTTGCACAGCAGAGTCTAGCAGAGTCTAGCAGAGTATATCTATAACTACAACTATAATACAACTATATACAGAGCTAAATAGGTCTAAGCATAAATGAATGCTGCACTGCACTGAGTGTCTGCAGCTGCTCTTAGCAGCAACCTTATCTCTACACACAATCTCTCTCTCTAACACTCTCTCTCTCCGACACTGACTGACTCTTTGATGTGGTGCTGGAGGAGAATAAGTAGAGAGCAGAACACGCCTCCTCCTCTCTGGAGAATCAGGAGACTCCTCAGGAGATTCTTGGATATGGGAGGGGTGAAATCTCCTCAGTGGTGACTGTGCCCTTGGCTCTGTGTGAGGCAAACCGTGGGTCACAGTTGCCTTTCAGGCCATGGGCAGCAAAAAAAAGAGGAGGTGAAAGAAGGCTTTGTCGACAGCCCGGCCCACCACATAACACTTGCAGTGAAACAGATCCTCCACCCGGTTCCATTTCAAGGTATCCAGTGGCTTGGTGTTCAGTGTTGTTCTGAGCCCCCGAGGTGGGGGGGGGGTACAACAATTAAAGCACAATATTAAAAGCAGTTTAAAGCATCTTAAAATCTCAGAAATAAAGTGGGTCCTAAAACTATACGCCTCGTGAATCAAAAGGATATGAAAGGATTGGCTAATTTTTTTTATTTAAATGCCCCCTATTACACCAAGTGCTTGAAACATAACACAACCAGTTTAACTTTATTCTTCTGCTCGGCTTCTGGAGGAAAAAAATTCAAAGAAACCCCGCACTTGCCTAAACATCTTAGAACCAGGAAGCAAAGGCTCAGCACCATTGACAAGGCTCCGACGAGAGACCATGTGAATGATCCCCACCCTAGCTGGAATGCTCCAGATGTTTTGGATGTGTTAGACTAGGACCTGCGAAAGCAGGGTTCAAATCCCAAATTCAGCCATGAAGTTCACTGGGTGACCTTGGGCCAGTTCCTCTCTTTCTCTCAGCCCAACATCGAGTAACACATGAAACCGGTCCATTCAGTTCAGTATTGTCTACACCACTGGTCTTCAGCTGGTGGGTTGGCACCCACTAACATGCTGCAGCCTGATCCAAGGTGGGTTGCAACAAGACCCAGGACCTTCTTTGAATCATGCATGCATTTGGGGACCCATTTCTTAATCTTTTCCCATATATTTGCAGGGTGGTAGTCTTTGGCTAAACAGGTTTTTACAAATTATTAAACCACGGCAACCTGCAAAACCTATTTTCTAGAGACGTTCTTGGGTTGAGTGCACACACAGGCAACTAAGTTCAACATTTTAACACTTCCAAAAACAGTAATCTGCTTCCAGGCTACTATATAAAATGCTATTTGGAGAACTTCCAGCAGTGACCCATCAAAAAGGATCACCTTGCCCTACATGCAGTGCTCCCCCTAGGGTACTTAAGGGTACACGGTACCGGCACTTACTTCAATAACTTAATGGTGAGTACCGGCACACCCCCCCCCCACATATATAAAAAAGAGAGTACTGCCCAATGTGCTCATTTGCCCACATCAGTTTGCAGAACTGCCACTTTTACAAGTGCCACATTATGCTTGTTCTGCATTTCCAAGTCACTGATCCTTGAGTTTGGTAGCACCTACTCTTCGGAACTCCCTGCCCATTGATGTTAGACAGGTGCCTTCGCTGTGTTGATTTCAGCACCTGCTACACACTTTAGGTGAGTCTACCTACCCAGACGTGTAATTTGAATATCATTTTTTTATGTGTATCTGCTTAAAAAACTGTTGGTTTTATTTATATTCTCATCAATGTTATGTCAGCTGGTTTTTAACATTTGTTTTTATTGGTGATTTTAATGAATAGTTGCTATTGTCCAATGTAAACCACTTAGGAGGTTTACGTCAATTAAGCAGTATATAAATTCTGGCAATAAAATAATATCGATTATACCACAATTTTCATCTTTTCCAATTAATGAAGTCTTGGAGTCCTGAGGCTCTCTCAAATAACATTAGGTTTTGTACCTTGTGTTATGACATTAGTGTATCCACACCTTGTGATCGCTCTTAAATTCATCTTTGCGGTTGTCTACAGATGCACGTTGAGCTTCTCTGCCACCTTTTAAAATGTGCTCTCCTGTGTATAACCTTCTTTGTCCTTCACCTTCAGCAAAACGACCTGCTGAGACGACTTTGCTCATTTATTGCTTTGGAAATGTCTTAGCTGGCAGCTTCTTTTCTCAGCTTCTCTAAAACTTCATCGGGAGTCACTGGTGCCAAAATCTTCACTACTTTTTCTCGAGATTTGCCTCCCTGTTTTAATAAAAAAGCAAATAACTTTAAGATGATTTCACACATTAACACCTGCATATTTTGACAACGTTTCTACATGGGACTCCTGGTCATCTCCCATCCAAGTTTCTGTGCCTGCTTAGCTACAGCAACGCTACAACATCAGCTGCTATCAGGCACTCACTGGACCCCTTAAAGAGTTTGAAAAAGTCATGGACAATATTTAAAGGATCAATTAATGTGAATGACAATAATGAAAGAATTGGACTACAAACCCGGTCACTCCTGACCATTAGCCATGCTTGCTGGAGCTGATGGCAGAGAGAATTGTAGAGTTTGAAAGGGTCATGAGGGTCATCTAGTCCAACCCCCTGCTTTGCAGGAATATCAGCTAAAGCATCCATGACAGATGGTCGCCCAACTTTTGTTTAAAGGCCTCCAATGAAGGAGAGTCCACCACCTTCTGAGGGAGTCCATTCCAGTGTCGAACTGCTCTTACTGTCAGAAAGTTCTTCCCGATGTTCAGTTGGAATCTCCCTTCTTCAGTGTTCGAAACTCCCATTGTTCTAGGCATGTTTTGTGACGGAATTTCATTAGCACGAGTGGTTTCCGAGCTCTGGGCACAATACTGTGCCTAAGATTTCAGATTAAAACTGCAGAGTGGAAGGAAAGGAGGACCTTTTTCTGCCCCCCCCACTTCCAGCTACTCTCTGAAGACCCTCTTAAGAATATTAGGGGGGTGGGCAGGGGAAGGACTAGACCATGGGTAGGCAAACTAAGGCCCAGGGGCCAGATCCAGCCCTATCGCCTTCTAAATCCGGCCCACAGATGGTCTGGGAATCAGTGTGTTTTTACACGAGTAGAATGTGTCCTTTTATTTAAAATGCATCTATGGGTTATTTGTGGGGCATAGGAATTTGTCCCCTCCCCCTTCAAAATATAGTCCGGCCCCCCCACAAGGTCTGAGAAACAATGCTGAAAAAGTTTGCTGACCCCTGGACTAGACCATGTGAAAAATGAACATAATATTTCAGCCGTAGTTCATTCATTTTCAGCTTTGAATTCTTGCTATAAAAGAAGCATGCCTAGACATTCCGTTGTTGCACCCATAACTTAGGTTTAAGGTGCTGTTTAGCTCCTAGCTTTCATATTTCAGTTTCTAACTTCCTTTCTTGTAACTTGAAGCCATTGGTTCGTGTTCTACCCTCCGGAGCAGGAGAAAACAAGTTTGCTCCATCTTCCATGCGATAGCCCTTTAGATATTTGAAGATAGCTATCATATCTCCGCCTCTTCTACGTCCATCAACGTCTCTTCCAAGGCCTGTGGTTAGACAGCCATTTCTAGTTCTTCAAGACAACCTTTTGCAGGAATTGGTCCCCTCCTACTTTTTACCGTATATCAGTTGGATTAAGAGTGTTCCCCATGCTGGTAAAATGAAAGTTGGCAAAAGTGACCTGCCACGGTTAATCAGCATGAATAAGTTTCAAGAGCCCCACATATAACATATTAAAAAGAGAGAGAATGGAATACCTTCTCCAACACAACCTCGCTCTTCTTAACCTCGAGGACCTTAGAGAGGTAGCGACATAGCTCTGCATTGGCCTCCCCTTCAGATGGAGGAGCAGCAATGGCCACACCCACTGCATCTGTCGTCACATCTGCAAGGAGTATTTTAAGGCTTTTATTACTCAGATACTCATTAAGCTTTTTGTGACGTTCAAACCATAAAACGCTTCTTTGGAAACTTTCATATACCATCAACATGAAACTCGCGGGTGAGGTCATCTGGTGATCTGGGGTGAACACACATTGCAAACAAGAAGTTGAAGTGCTAAATTGGTGTTGACTGAGATATTAAGATGAGGCCTGCTCAATCAGGCCAAAGGCCCATCTGCTACAATATCCTGTTATCCCTGTGTTCAAACAGCCAGGAAGCCCACATAACAGTGTTCTTCTCTCTACTTGTGTTCCCCAGCAACTGGCGCTGACTACGGTTTATGGACTGGTGAAGTGCTAATAAGCTTAAAGTTTTACCCAGATAAAACACTAGATGAGTGGAGTTCACCCTGTTTGGGGCCGAATTACACTTCCTGTGAAGAACGTTCCACTTTTACCGGTTTAGGATGGTTCACTTGCTGTATCCCTATCTAAGCTGAAATAGGCTGACTTCAGTGATCCGTGCTCTGGCAGCTTCAAGGTTAGACTACTGCAATGCATTCTACATGGGGCTGTCTTCTGAAGATAATCTGGAACCTGCAGTTACTTCAGAACAAACCTCCTAGATTACTAACAGGGACTGATCATATTATAGTGGAGATTTGTCCACTGCACTGGAACTTGGTCAATTTCCAGACCCAATTCAAAGTACTAGTTTTGACCTTTGAAGTCCTTTACAGCTTGAATCTAGGTTATCTACCCATAAACTGAAGGCATCATCAGAGGGGTTTTTCTCAGAGTGCCCCACTATGTGAAGTGTGTTGGCTACCCGGGGGGAAAACCTATTCAGCAATGGCACCCCATCTTTGGAGTGCCTTTGCCAAAGAAGTTAGCCTAGCATCAACTTTAATCCCATTTGGCACCAGGCACAAACATTTTCATTTCCCCAAGCTTTTAAACCATGCTCATAGAATCATAGAGTTGGAATAGACCACAAGGGCCATCGAGTCCAACCCCCTGCCAAGCAGGAAACACCATCAGAGCACTCCTGACATATGGTTGTCACGCCTCTGCTTAAAGACCTCCAAAGAAGGAGACTCCACCACACTCCTTGGCAGCAAATTCCACTGTCGAACAGCTCTTACTGTCAGGAAGTTCTTCCTAATGTTTAGGTGGAATCTTCTTTCTTGTAGTTTGGATCCATTGCTCCGTGTCCGCTTCTCTGGAGCAGCAGAAAACAACCTTTCTCCCTCCTCTATATGACATCCTTTTATATATTTGAACATGGCTATCATATCACCCCTTAACCTCCTCTTCTCCAGGCTAAACATGCCCAGCTCCCTTAGCCGTTCCTCATAAGGCATCGTTTCCAGGCCTTTGACCATTTTGGTTGCCCTCCTCTGGACGCGTTCCAGTTTGTCAGTGTCCTTCTTGAACTGTGGTGCCCAGAACTGGACACAGTACTCCAGGTGAGGTCTGACCAGAGCAGAATACAGTGGCACTATTACTTCCTGCTGATTCATTTTGTTTTATCCTAGTTTATGTACAAACCTTTAGTGCTGTTTTATGGATGTGTTGTTTTCATTAGCTTCACATACGTTATCATATAAAAAAAATGGGGGAAAATGAGAATTTTTATCGTGCTTTTCTACCCCCCTTAACACATGTAACAGCTGTAAGGCAGTTCACCCTCCCATTCCTTCTTTCCCAATAAATGGACCCTCAGATGAGTTGCTGAGTACTGGCCGCTCAGAGGGCCTTTTGCATCCAGTCCACATCTAAGTTCTAGGAGTTTTCTGCCTCTTCCAGGAACCAACCCAGGATTTGCACAAAGAAAATTTCCCATAACAAGGAATTTAAAACATTATCCCCTCCCAACTTCCAACATACCTGTTACAGCATTTTGTTTGGAGCCAGGTTTGGCATGGACAGAGATGGTAATGGAGCCACTTTTATCTGTTGCCACAGGGCCTGAAGGAACCGAAGACTTTGCTATATCCTTACTCTGTGTTTTTCCCTTAAAACAGAACAGAGAAACATGATGACCCAGAGAGTGCAGGCAGGAGAAGCAAAGTTGAAAAAGCCTCATGTTTTACTTTGCTTTTAATCTAAATATTTTATTGTATATGTTTTGTTAATTTCCACGGCATTTTATTGCAAAGTAAACATTTAAACAGGCTGTATCATTGTGATTTGAATTGTATAATGTCATTTTAAAAATAAAACATTGCTATAACATATGCTGCCTTGTAAAGACTGCCTTGAAAGGCAGCTTAAGCATATCTGAAACTACAATATTAAGACTGCTGAATCAAATGGCTTGCAAAGTTTCAAAGGCATTGACTCAGCTCTGCCAAATGTATCTCTACCCAGAAGTTCACAAACCCCAGGTAATAGGCAGCATCCCCACCCCCTAAAAATTCAAACTATCTCCTAATTTCAGTTGCTGACTGGCTGTGAGAACTGGCTTCGGCTATCATAAGTCTGTTTTGTCTGGTATGTTCCACAACAACCTTTGTAACCATTTCCAGAGGCGTAGCTGCATCAGTCAGTCACAGCAAAGTTAACAAGAGTCCTGTGGAATAACAAACTTTGTTAACTTTGGTGAACTAGGTTGCACTCCATTAAGACGCATGAAGCATAATCCTCACTTGCAGGTATATAAAGATGGGGGGGGGGAGAGGAAGCTTTAAGAACTGCAGCCAATGGGAAGTGAAAAGCAAAAAGTAGAGGGACAAATCATTAAAAAGTTTATTGGAATGTTGCAATTCTGTTAAGTTTTCTGGATCTAACGGAACTGTCCACCACTTTTGGCATTAGCCCTTTTGGCATTTCATTTCCCTCTGACCCAGGCTTCCTCAACCTCAGCCTTCCAGATGTTTTGAGACTACAATTCCCATCATCCCTGACCACTGGTCCTGCTAGCTAGGGATCATGGGAGTTGTAGGCCAAAAACATCTGGAGGGTCGAGGTTGAGGAAACCTGATCTGATCTAACTGATTAAAACTTCTAGGCTGTTGCAAGGGATGGGGGAGGGGTGGTGGTGCTGTTATTGATTTTTTTAATAAAAAAAGAACTCATTATAATTTATGTGGAAATCATTCAATTTGGTTGTGCGCTTTACGCGTTTTATTTATTTTGTTACGTTTGCAGTTATGCGATTCCCCCCCCCCCCAATGTTGTAAGCAGCCTTGAGCAGGGCCTTAACTATGGAAAAGCAGCAGACAAAATTAGGCATGCATGCCTGTATGCGTCTGATGAGCTCATGCCACAATATTATTTATTTGTCTCTAAGGTGCCATGATATTATTCTGTCTAATAATTCTGTGATTCTAAGATAGGGTTGCCATATCTCTAAAAGTGAAAATCAGGTCAGAATTGTTGAGCTTTGCCCCCGCCCCAAGTTGTTGTGTTTGTGTGTTTGTGTGTGTGTGTTTTAGAGGAATCAAAGTCGTCAAACTTTTTTTTCCATAAAAGCTACAAGAATTTTTGAGGTGTCAAAAAATGTTATTTATGTATGCCACTATTGCGGCCCGTGTTTTGTTGGCCCAAAAATGGAAAATGAGCGAGGTCCCAAATAAAGAAGAGTGGCAACTTAAACTGCTGGAATATGAGCAGCTTGCGAACCTAACATACAGAATAAGAGAACAAGAAGAACATACATTTGAAGAAGATTGAAAAATGTTTATTGAATATATGGGGGGGATTGTGTACACTTGTAAACGTTGGCATTAAGATAAATTCAACAGTGCAAACAAGTTTTGATGGATGTAATAATGGAATACTGACTGGTTTAGTTTATGTAAAATATGCAGGGATTTATGGTATGCAATAATGAACCATGGAAAGAGAAGAAGGGAAGTCATTGACATTTTATTGTTGTTTAAATGAATATTCTAAATTGCAAAGCAGAAAATTTATTAAAAATTATATGCACATATGCACACACAAAAAGTATTTTTGAGTTTTGGAGCTTTTTTTATGTGCTTTGGCACAATTTAACCCACTGCAAGTTTTCCAGGACATTTGTTGTTCTGTGAACTGCCCTGAGATCTCCGGGTCTAGGGTGGTGTATGTACATATATTATTATTAATAATATATATATTATTTATAGGGAGGTGGGTGGCGCTGTGGGTTAAACCACAGAGCCTAGGGCTTGCTGATCAAAAGGTCAGCGGTTTGAATCCCCGCGACGGGTTGAGCTCCCGTTGCTCGGTCCCAGCTCCTGCCCACCTAGCAGTTCGAAAGCACGTCAGAGTGCAAGTAGATAAATAGGTACCGTTCCAGCGGGAAGGTAAATGGCGTTTCCGTGCGCTGCTCTGGTTCGCCAGAAGCGGCTTAGTCATGCTGGCCACATGATCTGGAAGCCGTACGACGGCTCCCTCGGCCAATGAAGCGAGATGAGCGCAGCAACCCCAGTCGGTCACGACTGGGGTCCCTTTACAGTGGTACCTCGGGTTAAGTACTTAATTCGTTCCGGAGGTCCGTTCTTAACCTGAAACTGTTCTTAATCTGAAGCACCACTTTAGCTAATGGGGCCTCCTGCTGCTGCCATGCCGCCAGAGCATGATTTCTGTTCTCATCCTGAAGCAAAGTTCTTAACCTGAAGCACTATTTCTGGGTTAGCGGAGTCTGTAACCTGAAGCGTATGTAACCTGAAGCGTATGTAACCCGAGGTACCACTGTACCTATATTATTTATATATATGTTGATTTGCCCGGTTTCCGAAAAATAATTCAAGACTCCCTTTTCGGAGGCGAACTGCAGGGCATGTCCTGGGAAACCCGGACGTATGGCAGCCCTATCTAAGGCGAGGGTTGCACTAAGCCCTGGGAGGCCACGAAGCTCACTGCACCGTCCCTGCCTCGCTCTCTGCCTAGCCTACCTCACAGGGTTGTTGTGAGGCTTGGGCTGAGGAAGGGGGAGACCCGCGTGCGCCCCCTGGAGCTCACTGGAGGGACACGACGTCTTTTACATTTCAACCTTCGGACCCTCAGGGCGGCTAGTCTGGAAGCTCGGAGCCTCCGCGCTCTCCGACCGACCTTCTTAGGCATGGCGCCTCCGTATCCCCTCAGCCCACCGGCCGCAGCAGCCCAGGGAAGGTTCCGCGAACCCCGACGGGAAGCGAGAAGGGCCAACCCAGCCATTCCCCGTACATCACTTCCGGCAACAGAGCAGCCCGTTCTCCTCGTAGAGCTAAGAAGAAGAAAAAAGTGCAGAGTGATATGCAGGGCCTTAAACGGCGGGTTTCTTCGCGCTCTCCATGTGCTGCAGCTGCCCAGATAAGAGACAACGACGGAGACTGTTCAGACTTTGGTAGGCGCTGGTTGGCCGAGTGAAAAGGAGGACATTTCGTGCTGATGCAGAAATGGGCATTTCCATCCCCTTTCCTCTTATGGAATCGTACAGTTGGAAAGGGTCCCAGGGTCATCTAGTCCAACCCTTCGGGGTAAAAGACCTTTACACGTGATATATGCCCAGGAGTGGAAAGAGGACACAGTACCAATACCAATAACAAGTATTAGGAATAATAACAATTTATCAATTTATATAAAAATGTATGAGAGCATCTTATATTGCATTTTTTTGTATGCATAATTATAATAATATTGATAATAATATTGATAATAATATATATTTTTATTTATACCTCACCCTTCCCGGTTCAAAAACCGGACTCAGGGCGGCTAACAACAAATTTAAAACACTTAATTATAAAAGCAGCATAAAATATAGTATAAAAATATGAATAACAATAAAATTCAAAAATCAATTTAGGGGAAATCTCTCTCTCTCTCTCTCACACACACACACACACCTATGTTGTTCTTTTTTTCTCCCCCTCACTTTTCCTTTCCCCCCTGTATCGCTTCATTTCTTTTAATTTAAAATACCTCAATAATAAATAAATAAATAAATACCAACAAAGGAAGAATGGCAGATGAAACTAATAGAATGTGTAGAAATGGCAAGGTATGAGAGATTGGAAATGTTTTGTAGATCATTTGGCGGGGGGGGGGGATTGCAAGCGTATTAAAAAGTTAACAGTAACAGAGTAAATTCAGCAGTAGCAATCATTGAGATATAAAAATGAGGAAATGAAAAGATAGGGATTCATTAGAACATGTAGTGGAAAAGAAAATAATGACGTGAACCATGGAAAGTGTGGGGGGGGAGTCAAAACTAAATGTGCATTTGGCACTTGGATTATTATCTATTGTTTTAAGTGTAAAAATGAAAATGATAATTTTTAAAAAGTCCTTTATACAAATATCAGTGTGTTTCATGCCATCTTCCAGAATGTGATCTAAACACTGTCTTCCAATAATGTCTCTGACACTGTAGATTTATTGTTTCCCCCCCAACCCTAACCCCTTTTTGCTGCTTAAACACCAATTCCTTCAAGAAGAGGCGCTTGCCTAGTTTGCTCATCCTGTGCTTCGCATCAGTGCAGTAGCTAATGGAGCTCACAGCAGTTTACACCTACCCCCCCACCCCATGCCTCACTGTTAAACCTGGTCCCTTTCTCCAGACTTAAAAGGTAAAGGTAAAGGTACCCCTGCCCGTACGGGCCAGTTGTGTCCGACTCTGGGGTTGTGCGCCCATCTCACTTAAGAGGTCGGGGGCCAGCGCTGTCTGGAGACACTTCCGGGTCACGTGGCCAGCGTGACGAAGCTGCTCTGGCAAGCCTGCACCAGCGCAGCACACGGAAACGCCATTTACCTTCCCGCTATAAAGTGGTACCTATTTATCTACTTGCACTTAAGGGTGCTTTCGAACTGCTAGGTGGGCAGGAGCTGGGACCGAACAACGGGAGCTCACCCCGCCGCGGGGATTCAAACCGCCGACCATACGATCCGGCAAGTCCTAGGCACTGAGGTTTTACCCACAGCGCCACCCGCGACTTAGAAACTTGCAAATTAAGTCTGGGAGACAGCAAAATCCCCTGTTTGGGCAATAATTAAGCCAGGGCAGTCACTTTTCAAAGCAAGTGGGCTGCAAGAGTACCTCGATGCAGTGGGGAAACACACCGCCTTGTCATGGGGAAAGGGGAGCAAGGCCAGGCCCCAGCAGGGTCCTAAAAGCCCTTCCATCTTCTTCCCAAAGCTGGGAGAATGCTAACTAGGCTATGAGAAGGAGGTGGGAGGAGTCTAGGACCCTATCAGAACCCCATGCCTCCTTCCCAAAGTCCAGCACCTCAATTACCTGACTTTGGGAAGGCAGTATAAGGGCTGGGTAAAGGGACCCCTGACCATTAGGTCCAGTCGTGGCCAACTCGGGTTGCGGTGCTCATCTAGCTTTATTGGCCGAGGGAGCTGGCGTACAGCTTCCGGGTCATGTGGCCAGCATGACTAAGCCGCTTCTGGCGAACTAGAGCAGCGCACGGAAACACCGTTTACCTTCCCGCCGGAGCAGAACCTATTGATCTACTTGCACTTTGACGTGCTTTCGAACTGCTAGGTTGGCAGGAGCAGGGACTGAGCAACGGGAGCTCACCCCGTCATGGGGATTCGAACCGCCGACCTTCTGATCGGCAAGCCATAGGTTCTGTGGTTTAACCCACAGCGCCACCTGCGTCCCTGTATAAGGGCTGCAGGGAGTCAAATGTGGTTGGCTGCCACAAAAAAGCTTTGAAGGCTGCATGTGGCCCTTGGCCTGCACATTGCACCACCATGCTCCAAGCCAAACCTTATCTTAATGAGGCATCAGATCAAGGCCTGCATTTTAAAATGAGCTTAAAAATATATATTTGTAAATGTTTGTATCTCTCATGCCAGGCAGAAACCAGCTGGCTAAGTACTTTGGCAGATGTTTATCTTCCTAAACAGGGCCCCTCTGATCTATAGCAGTGCCTCAGGGTTGTAAAAGGAAATTACAGTCTGGGAGCAAAAGGTCACACTGACCATACAAATTACAGAATACAATCAAGCTGCAAAAACACAATTAATAGTTGGTAAATAGTGAAATTTATTGTTTAACAGATAATAATACCATGTGCCTCCCATTAGACTTGAGCCACATCTTCCTAAGGTTAAAGGGCAAGAGCTAATAGAAACAGCAGCTGGCTTGAAAGGGGGGTGTAAATTGAAGAGGTTGCTTTTGAAGCCTTTTTACTTTGAAAAGGCCTTTCCTTCTAAAAATCTATCTATGTTATGTATGAAATATATTGGCTTAAATGTAATTATGCAAAGGATTTAGAAAGTAAGAAATGTTAGATTCTTATGTTAGATTCTTATTTCATTGATGGTGTGAGAAGGTGAACCCAAGATCTCTGTTTAAGATAAAAATTAAAACCATTAGCCATCTGTTTTGGAGTGAATAGGGCAATAGGGCAAAGATGATCTGATAATTAAGGTGCCTGGTCGAGGCAAATGTAAGATATATGGCTACTTGTCTGCCATTTATGGATAGAAGGAAATATAGCTCTTTGTCTCCCATAAAAGGTAATAGGAAATGGGTGTATCTTTTATTATTGGTTCTAGCAAACAGCCAATAGGAATTTCAACCAGGCTGATTGGACAGAGGCAGCCAAAGCAGGAGCAAAGGGGCTGGGCTGAGGAAATAAAAGTGCTGGCCATCAGGGCTGGAGTGGGCAGAGCTTTGGTAACCATATACCACTGTGTCTCTCATTTATTTGTCTGACAAATAAATTATTATTTTAATTTCTCTATTGCTGCGTTGAGTATTTCATTCCAGCTAAGTGTTAACCACAAGCAGGGTGCTGCATTAATACAGAGTAGCATGGGGGCAAGAATAACCAGGAAGGTGGAGCAAAGCAGTTGCAAGCTTCTCTCCTGCAAGGTTTGAGTTAGCGTGATGGGCAAGCCAAGCCATGGTGTTAAAAACATCTAAGGTGTAAACCATAAAGACAGGGAACCCATGGTCCACCTAATGTTATTGGTCTGCAACTCCCAGCTTCCTTCACAATGCTTGATGGGGCTGATGGAGGAAGTCTGTTTTCTATCCTTCCTCATTTTATTTTATTTTTTAAAAAATTGATGGCAAAACATTCTAAGGGTCTAGGCACAAGGTGATGAGAAGCAGAATTCAGTCTCCCAACCCATCCAAGTCCTAAAGGTAAAGGGACTCCTGACCATTAGGTCCAGTCGTGACCAACTCTGGGGTTGCGGTGCTCATCTTGCTTTATTGGCCGAGGGAGCCGGCATACAGCTTCCGGGTCATGTGGCCAGCATGACTAAGCCGCTTCTGGCGAACCAGAGCAGCGCACGGAAATGCCGTTGACCTTCCCACCGGAGCGGTACCTATTGATCTACTTGCATTTTGACGTGCTTTCGAACTGCTAGGTTGGCAGGAGCAGGGACCGAGCAACGGGAGGTCACCCCGTCACGGGGATTCAAACCGCCGACCTTCTGATCGGCAAGTCCTAGGCTCTGTGGTTTAACCCACAGCGCCACCCATGTCCCATCCAAGTCCTAACCCAGCCCAATCTTGCTTAGGTTCCACAGTTGGGTAACGTTTATGGTAGTATGGTCACATGTGATTTAGTCATAAATCCAGGTACACAGAAGATTTTTCTAGGGCTGACACTTTTCACATATGGTACTAACCACCTCAACAGAAAAGGCAGCATTTCAGACAGTTGTGATATGCAATACAGCAGCTGCTTGCTTCGCTGATCACAGACATTTGTGGCACATTTTCAATGAGATCTTCTCAAAGATGAAGTCACCTCTGTCTTTTTCACTAGCCTGATCCATAGCTCACTGAATGAGCAGAGGCATGCATTAATGATCAAAGCAGCTTTGAAAAATGCTGCTGTGACAGCAGCTTCCAATCAAATCACCATGGAACTACCGGTAGTTTTTGAGGCCAAGGTAACTTTGTAATCCTGTTCATTTTTACCTCTGAAAAATGCCCATTACTCAGCACAATGGTACTTTTAAAGTAGATTTTGCAATACAGAGTAAGGATTAAAGTGACAAGCTTTTCAGATCCTAGCAAACAGCTATACCTTACCGAGGTGATAAGACTTGTGTTTGAGTTGTAGCATTTCAGACTCTTAAAATGGGCTTGCATGATTTTATATGGGGTATTCCACCTGTACACCAGCCTTTGCCAACCTAGTGCCCTCCAGATGTTTTGAACAACAACTTCCATTGTGAGACTAAGTAGTCTGATCCTTTGGAACCTAGCCAGTATCTTTAATACTTAAAATATATGCCTAGGCTACTTTAAACAATATTCTTAATTACTCCATTTTATATATATACTGAACTACTCGGTATGCTTGCATATGTATGAACAAGTAAGTTTAAAGTGTTCAGGATTTATTTTTAAGTAACGTATTCCGGGACTATACAAAATTGCTTCCACTCTTCACTTTATTTCAAGGATCGCTTCATACAACTGACTTCTGAATAATATTTTCCCAGCAAAACAGCAAAACAGATTTCATTTTATGTACACTGTACTGAGTACAATTACAGAGGCAATTTGTATCAACCTTAATTCGGCTTCTCTTCATAAGTGTTCAGTTTTAAGAATGCAAGTGGTGTATTGTGCAGGAACGCAATCATACCATCCACAAATGATATATCATTTGCAACATGTATATTTCAGGAAAAAAATACAAATATTCTGCTCCAGCTTTCAGGTAACAATGGCAGTATATTTAAAGTGATCAAGTTAAATACTTATGTACAGGTAAGAATATTTTAGTTCAAGAACGATTTGGCTGCATACTGCCACTGGAAGTAGTGAATACTAGGTTTTAGTACCTTCCATGTACAATACTTCAGTATCATCATAACACATCCGAGATTATGTATTTACAATGCTTCACAGTATTCTGTATCTTCCATCTGTCCTTTTTATCAAGTCAATGCAAAGTTTTACTTCTCAGTTATTTGAAGTTACGTATAAAATATTATTTCTGGTATTTGCCCATCTTCTATTGATGTACCATTGTTGTTACCCGGTGAACTAAAAAAGAAAAAGCAGGTTTTGCTTGAAGTGGGGGACTCGTGGATTACTTTCTTCAATCCCTTTGTGCCATAATGAGAATCAGGGCCCTAAAGAATAATAACAAGATAAGTTTATTTCCTTCTTCTTTACAATACTTTATAAAGTAAGCAGTAAAGTAAATTAGTGGCAAAGAACTACAATACCAGGAAATATATGCTACAGCAGAGATACTCATTTTAGTAATGAAGAGGCTTATATTATATAAAAGGTAAAGGTACCCCTGCCTGTACGGGCCAGTCTTGCCAGACTCTAGGGTTGTGCGCTCATCTCACTCTATAGGCCGGGAGCCAGCGCTGTCCGCAGACATTTCCGGGTCACGTGGCCAGCGTGACAAGCTGCATCTGGCGAGCCAGCACAGCACACGGAACGCCGTTTACCTTCCTGCTGGTAAGCGGTCTCTATTTATCTACTTGCACCCAGAGGTGCTTTCGAACTGCTAGGTTGGCAGGCGCTGGGACCGAAAGACGGGAGCGCACCCTGCCGCGGGGATTCGAACCACAGACCATGCGATCGGCAAGTCCTAGGCGCTGAGGTTTGACCCACAGCGCCACCCGCGTCCCTTATATTATATAAGCCACACATAATCAATACATACAGTCCAGTTTCTCATCGCTCATGTTTAAAATATTTACAAAATAATTGAGAATATCTTACTTTTAGGGTTGCACAAGCAGTGTAACACACAGTTGGCAGAATCTCTATAGGTTCTTTGAACATCACTCTGAAGGTATTGGCAGTTCCGTCACAGCTAAATCCAGTGTCATTCTGCCCTAGCGTCTGATTTTTCTCATATTCAATTATCTGCAGTAAGACAGCATGGCAAGAAATAAAACAGAAAACACCCTGTGATTTTTTTTGTTTTAGAAACCACTACACATTTTATTAAGATGACCAGAACCTGATTTTTGCCCCTGGAACCTGTATCACTCTTCCAGCTTCTGCCTGAAACTGAAACCACAGCTTGGGGCTTCAACAAGCAAAGCTTTCACAACCCATAATGCATAAATTGGGGCTCTAATTGGCACCTGTAATTAATACACAATCTAATACAAGACCTATACTAATAGTTTGTTTCAGGGCATAGTTCAAAGCAATCAAAACCAACTTCAGATGCTCCTTCTGTCATAGGTAAGACAAAAGGGGTTTTGCTCTGTCTTTGGAATGCCTTCCCCACTCAGATTTGTCTAAATTTCTGTGGTGGCTCCCCATTTGTGGAATGTTCTTTCCAGGGAGGTTCAGCTGGCGCCCTCATTATACACCTTTAGGCATCAGGTGAAAATATTCCTTTTCAACCAGGCCTTTGGCTGTTTGACATCCAATACCCCTGTCAATGTGTTGTGGGAGATTATTGGTTTGTTGCTGTTCTTATTTTTACTATCTGTTTTGTGGTTTTCATATTGTAATTTTATGTTGTGCACCACCCTGACATCTATGGAGGAAGGGTGGTATACATATTTAATAAATAATTATGATAAGATGATAATGATAATAAGTGCTTTTGAAAGTCATCCATTAAAATATTCTGGATTTCTTGATAACTATTTATGCAAGTACTGGCATACATAATTTTTTGCCAAGCACATTTTTTTCTTCATAAGCCCTGTAGTACCTTAACAGAAGATCTGAAAACGTAATTCACACAGAGTTCAGTAATTTAGGTAGTAGTCCCCTTGAAACACTCCAGATATACCAAGGTAGCAATACTCAATGTGGGTGGGTGTATTCCACAAGCAAGTTCAAACATGGCAAGTTTGAATGGAAAGCTAGTTCCATGGGACCATAAGTAAGAAACCCTGCCTCGGTAATCTACTGATCCAATATACCAAAATGATGCAACTCTGAACAGACTATCCCTGGCCAATTTAGTTAAATTAATGAACTATTTACACATTTTGGTGTCTAAGGAAAATGTGTAACTCATTAAGCACGTAGAAAGCATGATGGTACCTGTATATTAACTTGGTAATCTGTGGGTCCATGAATAGATCCATACAATCCAAATCCCACTATCGAAATCCTTCTATTAACAGTGAACCTTAAAAAGAGAAAATAAAGAATTTGTTGTTGTTGTTGTTTAGTGGTTTAGTTGTGTTCGACTCTTCGTGACCCCATAGACAATAGAGGGAAGTAAATGTATTTGAAATATGGAGAGAAAAATGTAATTGACTAGTGTTAAAATTTCCAAATAAGGGTTGGATTCCTAAACTACAGTTGTTTCTACCTTTATTTTGCACTGGAATAAGCTAGAAGTGTACAAATTCCAGTTCTGCCACATCCTTAAAAACATACCTATGCCAAACTACTGTCAAACAAGACCATATTTACCTAACAGATTTTCTTCTCCCTCACCAGCTTCATCATACACCAAGATCTCCAGAAAAGATCACTCAGGCTTCTGTTTATCTGACAAATAGGGGCAAGGGGCATAATTCCCTCAGCAGGACTCCCTCCCCTTATGAATCCCCTTCCCAGAAAGACTTGCGAAGTCAGTTCTGTTCTCATCTTCTGAAAATGAAGTTAAAATGCTTATTTCATCAGGGATTCAGAGGGCAATATAGACTACTTTAAAAAGAAAAATAGGAACTATTTGATTTGCTGCTAGTAGTTTTATCAGTTTGGGGGGGGATTAGTGATTCAATTCAGGAGTTGTTTTATTCCAATGTCTGCTATTATTATTATTATTTACATTTCTTAGACTCCTTTCTCAAAACAAGACCCAAGGTACTTACACAAACATTTAAACAATATTTCTAATAGTAATTTGTCTGTATAAAACCAACTCCTCCAAATACAAATTAACAAAATCAACACTGGAACAATAATAATAAAAAGGACAAAAACATCCCATCTCACAGTACTTAACCTGGTATTGTAAGCAACCTCTTGAACTTGCCTAAATGTTAGAAGCTTTGGCCCTTCTTTTAATGCTCTTTTATACAAGTATTATTTAACTGATGCCCATTATCTTTAGTGAAATACTACAAGTCAACACACAAGAGCATATGGTGCAACAGCATGCATAGTGTGCTGAACATTAAGCTTCAAGCAGTCTCTTCTGAAGAAGCCCTCCCTGTGTTTTTGTAAGCACCTGGACCAGGATTCAGAGAGCTGTATAACCAGTTCTAGGCACCCAAAAGAGGCACTGGGTTTTCTTTTTCCTTTTTAAACAGCAGCCACCCATGCCACATGGCAAGCTGCTTTTGAAACTTAGGGCACAGCCTGACTCCCTCCTTTGGCAATCTTCACAGAACTTTGGCTCAATGGTTGCCATTCAATTTGATTTGAATTACTTTTATAATGTAATGATTTTAGAATGTTGTACTATTTTATTGTTGTTAGCCGCCCTGAGCCCGGCTTCGGTTGGGGAGGGCAGGATATAAATAAAATTTATTATTATTATTATTATTACTACTACTATTACTATTACTACTACTACTTTCAACAGCTGCTTGTGGCATGGTATTTTGCAGGGTAGGCTCATCAGCTTACAAAGCAAAAAAATGTTTCCCCTAGTAGCTCTTTAGATCCCAGCCTCCATCAAGTAAATATATATTGAACAAACCGAGCATCTATTGAATCGGACTAAGGGCCAATGAAACTACATGCACACAGCCTTAATGAATTTGACCCCAAACCTATCAGCCAGTGTTGACACCCATTAAGAAGAACATTTATTATAGGCAGAACAGTGCATCTTTTATCTAGTCTCCATGCAATCCCAAAGCCACAAGAGAAACCTTCCATGTCATAGCCCAAAGTGTGTTTATTTGAGCACCAACGTGCTGCCATATGATTCCCTACATGAGTTATCCAATCCTGTGTGAAAAGCCAAACAGCAGAACAAGCATCCTTAGCCATGCTTTCTTCTTTAATGTGTCTATGATGGCAGGGAAAATACATGCCTTCATGGCCAGCTACTAAGTTGCTAACTGAGCAGTAATATTTTGGAAGGTTTCTCCTAATTGTGATAGGCTAATCACACGAGTTCCCCTGAAAATGGACCAATACCTGATCCTGTCACTTGTTCCACTGTAACCCCAGCGGCTCTCCACTTGCTGGAATCTATTTATGCTGCATTCCTTTCCTCTAAGACAGCATCTTGGTCGGTCAATATAGTCAACTCTAGGCTTAGGGTTGACTGTAAAATGCAGAAAGAGATTTACTACTTCCCGATCTGACAAAATTCCAGACTGAGCAGGACCTGGAAAAAAAGGCAGTGCAACTGAGCTGAATATATTCTATATACTAGGAGGCCGGCTGAGAAATGTTATTGAGGCAACTATTACTTTATAAGCCTATTTTTTTTACAGCTATCCCACTGCTAGATTGTAGCTGTTTAACTTGGATTAACTAATCTGGGCTATAAACGGAGAAAGACCAACATGCTTCAAGAGAAGGCTGACAAGATCCAAATACTCCAACCCAAAAATAGCTTGTGAATCAAGCTTGTTATCTGCTAGCATAAGCTCTAATGTTTTTTAAGATAAAATTAATATAAGCATTGGGATAAAAGGTTTGAATGTCCACCTCAGCTAGTCTGAAATATGTTGTGTTAGCCACAGTAGCTTTACTGAATAAGACTTCTTCCACAACACATAGGTTAGAATTGAGAACTATTTGTACTACTAGTAGTTTGGCAATTAAGATTTGTATTATGAGTAATTCCTTTCCATGATATATGGTCTATAGATGTGTGTTCATGCTGCCAAATTTGCCATTGGCAATAGACTTAAACAGGATGAAACACTTAATTATTCTGGTTTAACAGGTTTGTATATTGCAGAACACACAAAAGAACCATTTTAGCAGGGTGACTTATCAAATAGGTAAAACCAGGTGTTTAGTTTTATATATGATTCTCAACCAGTTAAATCAGAAATATAAAACACCAAGTTATTACAATATATAAAATTAAATACATGTAAATTTAAATGCAAGGTGTTTTTTAAAAAACAACAACCCTGAAACATTGTAATTTTTAAAAAACTGAAACATCATAATTATGGTCCTTTGTTGTGCCTAAGGCAAATATCCCAAGTGAAAACAACACATGAAGCCAACAGATTTGTTTTTAAGTGCTTCATCCAATGTTCAACCTCTGACATTACTAAATTGTCTTGTAAAAGAAGTAAGTTCCAGAGAGTTCAATGAGACCTGCTCCCGGGTAAATAAGCCATTATCTGTGGATGGTTTGTATCTTTTAGTGCAAGCTACTTTCCATTTTTTTACAGGATCTAACTACTGCAGGATGTATCGCACACATTTGCTTTCCATCCTACAAGAGACCCTCCCATTTTTGAAAGCAGACAGCCTGTCAATGAGGCACAAATTTTGTCTTCCACTATAAAAATGATTAAATTAATTGAGGATAACTGTTCCCATAGGCAATTCTCATTATTGTCAGCTAACATCATAACTGCAGGGATTAAACAAAAAATGAATGAGCAACATTACAAATATGATTTAACAAAATCTGGAGAATAAAGCTGCAATCTTATGCAGATTTTCTGAGAAGCAGGTCTTATTGAGATCAACAAGGCTTATTTCAACATAAACATCACTGGATCAAGCTGCAAGAGCATCACAAAAATACAAAAAAGTCAGATTTCTGAGCAAACAAAATATACTGTATTGTTTTCTTGCTACTTTTCTCGCACCAATGACCATGTTGTTAAACATAGATGATTTAATCTCTAGTAAAAGGGTCAATAGAACTGGAACCTTAGCACATATTTTAGACATTATATCTAAAAACATAGAGAACCTTTCACTTTTTGCAACAATGAAGCCAGCCATACAGTTACCTGCTGCAAACTCTTCAATAGTCATCAGTGGAAAGCGGATTAAGGAGAGGGCTTTGCCAAGCACTTTCTGCTTATTGGCAGATGTGACGGGCAATTGCTGTCTTTGACATTCTGCTTCAGCCCAGCGAACAACAGCTCCAAAAAGTCTACTTTCACGAATACTTAGTGTGTCTCTTTCCAATACTGCACACAAAGTGTCTGAAGAAGAAGAATCAAGTTACTTGCGAACTGAGGACTCCATCCCCTCCCCACTTCTGCCCAGAAAATTCAGTGCTATTGAATGCCTTTTAAAGTTACTACATAAACTAGCTTTCTCAGCCTATACTCCTTAAATTAATTTGACAATATAGTTGACACAAACTTTTTATTTAAACTGTGCTGTCCTTCAACTGAAGATTACAGAGGAGTTTACAATATAAAACAAAAAATGCACATCATAATAACAAAAATAATACTGGTTTCTTTTTGAGTAGGTCCTACGTAATCAGTGTGCAGGTGATTATTATAATAATTATTAATATTATAATAATCACCTGCACACAGATTACGTAGGACCTAATCAAAAAGAAACTTAGTGGGAATGTGCATTCAGTTGGGGTGCAAAATCTAGTACTAATCTCCCCTAAAATGGTCAAGACAATCAGGCTAGCTTGGAAAGTTAAATGCCCAACTAAAATCACCCATTAACAAAGAATGTGGATCTTTTTGGATCAACATGTGAGAAGGGATAGCAAAAATCCTATCAGGTAAGTTATCAGCCTAGTCCTTCACAAAGAACATAAATGGTTAGAGGGCTACTTACCTATATCAATATCTGTGAACCCTTCTGCACTTATTGCATCCATAGTACTTTTGTCTATTGTGTCAAGACAGAGACTAGCTAGTTGCGGTTCATCAAATAAACGAGCCTATGCAAGAGATTTGCTTAGAATTATTTTGCAAATTCTGTATTGAAGGATAGGCTTGACAGCTAATAGAAACAGTTTCCAACATAAAATAACAAAAAACGATTTCTACAAAAGCAACCTTAATTTCACACTGCTGCTCCCAACAGTAATATGTTTTGTAAACAAAACTCCATTTGCTACCTTCAATCCTTGCTCGCCTTACTTCTATCAACAGTGACACAAAGCATGACTAATCAGGGTTCCCATTTAATACCAGTTTAAAATCTTAGTTATGAGCTGGCTTCAACCCCTTAGCAACTGGTTACTCTAAGCAGCCTTAACTGTGGGTGGTGGAAAAAAAATAGTCACAATTAAGGTAAAAAAGATTTCCCTACCAGCTCCCAGGTCTTCACTGCAGTTAGAAGTGTTTCTGAACTAGCTCTGGGGCATACACAGAATCCCATGCATGCTTAATTTTCAGTGAGTCTAATGGAACAGTGCCTGATAGGCACCAATCTTTAAGAACTGTTAAACATTATAACTCATATAAGTTATAGGAGGATGAATTTGATTCTGACACACCAGAGGCTGATAAAACTGAATATCAGAAACCACCAAGCTTCACGCCATTTTCTTACAATAACAAAAGATGAAAAACTTAACTGATCACTAGCTCATGCTGTATTTATAAAACAGTCCTCAATGCTAAGCAACTTGTCTTTCCACAGTGTTGTTCACAACACACACACACACACACACACGCTGAATCAGGATCATGAGCAGGAAGCCTTACTCAAATGTGTGAGTTATCATAATTTCCATATTCCAGCATTATTCACAACTGCTTTACTACGTACATGTTTTTAAGTAAGACGTGCTCAGATCTACGCAATTAGGGAAGTAACAGACACATATTTCCAGTTAGCTCATTAAGTATGCAAGTCAGCAGGTTACCTGAGTAAGCAGCATAAAAGCATTGTCTGCCCGAAGGTGCTTAGTGAGAAATTCAACACAATGAGCTTCTAAGGCTGGGACAGCATACTTCTTGGCTGTGTAGAGAGTGGTCATAACGGTTTCGGGACCAATCTGAACTTCATCTGAATACAAAAACCTAGGAATGAAAGAAGAGCAAGTTATGAGAACAGTGCTTAATGACAATTAAGGCAGCCACCCTTTATAACATGAAAGGCCCATTGAACTTACTTTGAAGTACATACACATAGCACTGAGCTGCAAGTCACTCAAGATCCTAATATCCTTTGTTCTGCAGAGCTGGTTCCACAGCATATGACAGGCAATCCTACCCCAAATATTAACGGACAATCTTGACTATCTGCAGAAAGTCAGCAGCTTTACAAACCTGAAAGGTCAGGGATTGCCTTACGATGCAAAAACAGACCAGAAATACTACATTCCTAGAAGAATGGTTCAGAGCTTCTTTGTTCCTGACCAGATATAAACTCAGATTCAAGTATTTTGACTTCCAACTATTTTCATCTTGGGCTCTTAGGCTGCATCTTCCAGATCATACACACCACAGCAGCATCTCCACACCCAAATCTATATTCTGTTCAAAATCCATACCAAAATTCTCTGATCCGCAATAACTGGTTTGAATGAGGAGTTAACATAAAAGGTCAGGCACTAGACAATTCTCTCTGCCGTGCAAAAGAAAAAAACCTCAAGATTGCAATACCATCTTGTGCAGGGAACAAGCACCGCCAGTTGCTTGACACCACAAGACCTCTATCCATGTCCTCCAAACAGGGAGTGAGACTTCACCAACAGATCTATCAATGCACTCACAGTGTACACTAAATCTTGTGCAGCATGACTTTTTACACAATACCTGGAAGAAGCAATTCCAGGACT